CCTCCATGAGGGGGCGTGGTCCCCGTAAGGGGACATCGCTGAGGGGCGTGGCCGCCGTGAGGGGACAGTTCTGAGGGGCAACACCGGCCATGGCGGTCGCGGATTCCCCTCAGGGACGGGGGTCCCCGCGGTCCCCCCCGTGGCGGCAGGGACACCCCCGTGTCAGCCATGGGCTCCCCGGCTGTGCGACACCGCCCGCGGCTGGTGCCGTGATCGGTGACAATGTCTGGGAGCGGCCCTGGAGGTGCCACAGCCCGGTGAGTGCTGCCAGCCCCGAGGAGAGGGTCGGCGTATGTGTCCCCTCCGCCATCGGTTCAGACCGCCTCACCCTCAAGTGAAAAACTTAAAATCTAGAGACTTCCCCCTCACAGACGCACCGAGCCAGAGCAGCACGAACAGCTCCTTTCCTGGCAGGGGGAAAAATCCGTCCCAAAAGGCAGTTCAGTCACCAGCCTAATTTTCCCCTCACTATTAAGGTCAGGGTCCGGGAGAAGCCGGACGAAAAAATGAGCGGGAGAACTGGGTAAAACGTCGGAAAGGGATGAAACCGCGCTTTTTCCAGCCTTTCCACCACAAGAGCAGAGCCCGCGATCACATTTTCCCCATGCGGCTTCACGCCTGCCGAGCCCAGCCCTCGGCAACAGAGCGGCTTTCATTCCCCGGCGCCTCCCGCCCTTGCTGCCAGCCCTGCCTTTCCTTTTGGAAGCCCAGACTCTATTTTTAATAGTCTGAGTGGAGCTGCACCTGAGCGTCTCGGCAGAGCCGTTCCCAGGGCAGGCCGGGGCTGTGGCATCCCCCGAGGTGACACGGAGTGACTTCAATGCCGTCTGTGACCCGGGATGAGCCTCCCTGTAATTTGTACCCAAATGCAGCCCGGGATGGCTCCACATGGAGTGGTTACCAACGGAGCGATCGCTGGTAGTAACAAAACCTCCTGGCCCTCCAGGCGTTCACTGCCCTCGGTTCTGCATAACCGGATGTCTTTGCACAAATATCAGCTTTGAATGCCCTTGAATTCATCTCGAGCAGGAAAAACTGCTGCAAGCTCCTCTCCGGAGCTGATAGGGCTGGGTCACCGATGTGACAAAGTCCTTTCCATTCCTGCAGCCTCTGGACAGTCCCAACTCCCCGAGAGCCAGTGGAATATCCATCTCTGTTCGGTTTAGAGTCCAGGGAATCTCACTGATTCATGGGGTGGGACAGTCTGGGCTGGAAATCGATGTGTCACTGGAACCAAACCGATGTGGGGCTGTGCAGTCCAGCCCTGGCCAGGAACCTCCCTTGATAATTACCCATTAATTAATTGCAGCCTGCAGCGTGAAGGACACCATCCCACAATTATTGTTGGAACGTGGGTTCCAACAGAAGGGAAGGTTAAATAGGGCTGTCCCAGAGACTTCACAAGCATCTGTCTTAGGCTTTGCGTTCACTTTTTTGCATGGCAGAGTAAGAAATTTGCACCAGTTGGGGCCAAATGTGGATTCAGGGACTGGTTTAATGAGGGGCAAAGCAAAGTTGGATCAGGACAAGGAACGCTGAGCCAGGTACTCCTCCTCAGCCAAGGACCAAAAGCCTCCCTCTCTGCTTCACCAAAAAGTTTAAAATCCAGGGTTTTGTCAAACTTGCAGTACTTTCCAGGGCTCCCCACAGCCCAGACCCACCTGCTCGAGAACAGGCAGTGGTTTAGCACAAAGATCAGCTCTCCCACAGCACCCACAAAGGTGGGTGTAGAGCAACAAATTTGAGGTCTGCGAAGCACTGGGGGCCTTTTTATGTTTCCCAGCCCCACAAAGGAGCTGCCAGGGCTGTTTTCCCCTCACCACTGCTGCATTTCTGCTCTAACAAAAACTCTCCCCTGCTGGTATCTCACAGAGCAGCTAATAGCTTATTTCATTTATACCCAGCTGCACCAGCCCTGGCTCTGCTTTAATATCTTTTCAATTATTTCACTTTCAGATGACATTTTGCTTGTTTCCAGCTGCCACTTACCAAACCCCTCATGCTCCCCATTCAAATGAAACCTCTAACAATGCTCAGTCTGAAAGCTCTCGATTCTTTCCTCCTTCAGTGATTGTTGCTTGTATTATACTGGATTTATTTATTTCTTTTTTATAACACTTAGAATTAATTTGTCCACGCTTTACATAATAAATCACCAGTGCTCCTAACAATCCATAGGGAAATGAGCATCACCCACCTTTAACAGCAGTGAGGAATGAGTCAGGAAAGTTCAGTGGCTTACTGAAAGCTAAATTTGCACCGAGCCACAGAGTGGGAACAAAGCAACTCTGGTCCCCCACATGTGCTCAGTGGGTCACTCCCTCAATATTATTTTATGCTGCATTCAGGAGCTTCATTCCCATTTGGCAGAGCAGCAAAACAATGTGGATTGTTTCCCTTCTCCAGCATTTTTGGCCTTTCTGCAGCAGTTTTTCCATCTCAAACTTTCAAAGTGCTTTTGAAACTGGAGGCATCAGATGTTAAAGATATCAAAGCAGGCCCTCTCCTGCCCTGGCTGTGCGTGTTCCTCTGGTGGAATTCGCTGCCACGCTGACCCTGGGGCTCAAAAATGAGTTTTTATTTCCACGGGGAGTTTTCCAGGCATGGGAGGAGCTCAGCACACAGGTCATGTTGTCACTCAGTGGGACACATGTATGAGCATCCCAATTTTTTAATCATAATGAAACTGCTGTGAGAAGGAAGATGCTGAGGTGGTTTGGGAAGGAGAGCATCCAGTGCTGGCTGTGGCTGGAAGCAGGAGCCTGTCCTGACTGTCGGGTTCATCAGAGCTCCTGAAAGCCGTGCTGGACGCAGCTGGGAGAGGAACCTGCCCAGGGACACCTATTAAAGGAAAGGCAGGACTGGCACACCCTGGTTATAAATACCAGCACTCCCATTCCACAGCTAATTCGGGATCCTGGGATGCAGCAGCGGAAGCACAGCCACGGCGGGCCCAGCCCTCGTGTCACAGATGCTCTGCTGAGCTGCTGCCCCCTCAGCAGAGTAACCCCAGGAGCTCCACATTCCTCCCTCCCATCCAGGCACCGAGAGGGATTTTGGGCTCCATCCATTACCTGCCTCCTGGGAGGGATGAATTTGTTATGGCTCATTCCTCTTTTATTGCCTCTGTGCCGAGCAGAGTTTGGTTTGGAGCTGCTGGAAGGGTGGGAACCCACCAGATTTCCAAGGACTGTGGGGGAAATCCAACTTCTGCCGGTGTCAGACTGTTTGCAGTTTGCTGTGATTCCCAACCAGCTGTCCCTGGATGGCTCATTTTCCTCCGGGGTGGCTGCCAGGCTTTAGGATTAGCCGCAGTGAGCAGCTGAGGACATGAGTGGAGCCGGCCCCAGAGCTCACAGCTGCCACTGGGGAGAAACCCACAGAGAACAGCTCTGTGCTGCGGGCTGAGGCAGAGTTAGAGCAGCACAGGACACGTCCCGTGGCATTATGTGGGAAGGTGACTTCATCCCACAGTATCTGGGTCACTCCTCTGCTCCACGGTCCAAGTTAGCACCGCTCGGAGCACAGAGGCTGGAGAACTCAATGTTTCTAGGAAATGCTCATCAAGAACTTTCAGTGGCAGTAATTGCACTTGGAGTCATTTAACAATCAGTGGCCTTTGCGTGCTTCTTCCTTTTTTGTTTCCCCTGGTTACTGGCATATGGTCCTTTCCCCGGGGAGCTGGATGGTAATTAATGCATTTTGTGGTTAAATGTTTGGACTCAGCATCTCAGGGCTCCCGAGAAGCAGGGAGGGGACAAAGCAGGCATTGTCTGCAGGTTTCCCTCTGCAGTGGGTCCCCTCCACGGAGGCACCGGTGGCAGCTTTTTGGGAATGCTGACACAGGCAGAGTTTTCACCTCACTTCCTTTGGAACACGGGGGAAGTTGAAGTGCTGCTTGTCACCTCCCTGCCTTTGGAGGTGATATCCGAGGAGGGGGAAAAGGAAAGTTGCCTCCCAGGACCACACACAGCAGGAGTAATCGAATGCCTGGCTCTCCCCTTTCAGCAGGAAGCTGTTGCTGTGCTCTGCCCGGGGTTTCTCGCTGCCCTACTTTCCAAATTCAGGTATCAGCCTGGCCTCTGCTGTGAGCATCAGGAAACAAAGATTTGGGCTTCTCCCTTCTGCAGGAAGAGACCTGGAAAGGATAAAGAGGCAGAGATGGAGCTGGGTCTGAGTGCTGGGAAACCTTCCCATGGAAGTGCTGTGCAGATGCACACACACAAGGAGTCCTTCAATAAAAACCCCAAATCCACTGCATTCTTGGTTTGAAGAGTTATTTGGGAAAAAGGAAAAAAAAACCAAGCCAGTTCTGTGAGCCTGATTAAAATCTTATTTCCTCACCTTTATATATAGAAGTTGCTTGAAAGTAAATAAATTCAGGTCTTGGCTGTTTTCTTTTAAGGTTAGTCCCCAGGTGATTCAAACACCTGGGCTGATAAGGAGATTTGGTGAAGAAAAAAGCACTACACAACTTACTTCTCCCAAAATAACCACCCCAGTTTTGCCTGGCTGAGGTTGATTAAGTGGTTAAATCAGCCACACTCCCCTGCAGCAGCAATCAAACACCACCAGCGAGGTTTCCTGCTGAATTCCCATCATCTGAAAAGCCTGGAAGTCGCCGGTAGCTGGGGGTTCTCCTAATGAACCCTGTCCATTATATCCCAGCTGGGACTCAGCACCGCGGACTGGCTTCTGTCACGGAGCTGAAATGGCAGAAACTCTGTTTGCTGTGGGTTTTGAATGGGCTGCAGGGTCTGAGGGAGCTGGGGAAGGGCAGCTGTACAGCCCTGTGTGCTGCCTGTGTCTTTGGGTGTGGGGAAAAGGGAAGCAGCAGCTCCTTCCCAGCTTCCAGCCACACTCCCATGGATCTGCACCGATCACTCCAGTCACAGCAATGACACCAACATACTCTGTTTTCTCTCTGAGGTGCAGCCCAACAGCAGAGAGGAAAAGATCCACAAAAAAAAAAAAACAAGTCCAGCATAAAACCTCTTTATCTCCAGGCTGGCTCGATCCAAAGCCATAATAGGAAAAAAACCTTCCCTGTGAGGTTTTGGGGAGGCCCTGGCACAGGTTGTGCAGAGAAGCTGTGGCTGCCCCTGGATCCCTGGGAGTGTCCCAGGATGAGCAACCTGGGATAGTGGAAGGTGTCCCTGCCCATGGCAGGGGTGGAACTGGATCATCTTTAAGGTCCTTCCACCCCAAACCATTCCATGATTCTCTGAGTCCATCAGTGCAGGCACCTGATAATCCATCCCAGTTTAGGGCAGGACTGTCACCTTCACAAATCCAAACCACTGCTGTTTTACATCTCTGCTCTGCCTGTGGGGTAAAGCTGTGCATCCCAAACCCCCTGAGCTTTCCAGGAGGTTCTCTGGGCAAAGTCCACATCTGGGATGAATGACATTTATTCTGAGGAACAAGGGAACACCTCTCCCAGAGCCACCCCGCTCTGGACCGATGGCGTCAATGCTGATCTGACTCAAGCAGTGACATGATGAATGTGGGGTTTATTTCCTCCTACCTGAGTCACACTGGAAGGAGCCAGATTTTTTTCCAAGTACTCAGCAAAGGAAAGGAATTGTGGGCAGGACAAGAGGCCAAGATTTCGCAGTTCTACCAGGATTTAGAAATAATCTTTCTGATAAAATTATTTGCATTGCAGCAGCACGTAGAGTGCTCCAGCTCTCCAAACACAGGGACAGAAACTCCTCCACCTTCTCCAAACCTCGCAGCCTGAGGCACTGCTAAGGGAATGACATCCCAAATCCCTGAGATACCCACAGCAAGATGCAGAACAGAACCCAAACCTCCTGAGTCACGGCCTCAAAAAGCAGCTGCGGTCCCCAGCAAAGGCACCGTGCCCTGCAGATGGAGAGAACAACAACAATCCTGCAGGGCAGGACCAAAGAGTTCCCAAATCTTCCCATCTCCCTGCTCCTTATCTGCAGCACACGCTCGACCTGCTCAGGCTGAAATTCTGGTATTTCAGATCATCGGGTATTTCTTTTGCAATTTTAATTATCACCTCTTTACCCCGGTGGTTTGTCTGTGTAATGATTGCTGTGAGGCTCTTCGGGCTCCTACTGAGTAACGATAAGAGCTGGTTAGAGTCAAAAATTTAGCACAAACCTGGGAGAGATAATTGAGGACTGAAACCACTCCTCTGTCCCTCGGCCCAGCCAGGGACATCCAAACCCAGCCAGGCTCTCAGAGCATCTCTGTGAGTACCAAGGCTGTGGAGATTTTCCCTTTTAAATCCTTTGTTTTTATCCCAGCCATGAATCCCAGCTGATGAGTGCTTCAAGGTGGGCAATGGGATGGAGAGGAGAGGAACTGCCACTGAGGGGGTTAAACCACAGACAGCTGCTTTTCTAACCCTGCCCTGATCAGCTGCACAAGAGGTTTCCTGTGATTCAGGTTTCTTTCACAGATTTAAAACTCATTCCAGATAAGCAAATGAGCAATTAGCAGCGCTGCATCTGTGATGTCATTAAAATTCAAATGGTACTCTGGATGCTCATTAATAGTGGGATGTGCAGTCAGAGAGGATAAACCCAAATCCTGTGGTGGCAGCAGGGGAAACCCCTCTCTCCACATTCCCCTTCTCCCAGGGGTCAGGGCCAGCCCCTCCTCAGCAAAGTGGCCTCTGAGCTGTGGAGGAGTCTCAGTTATCAGCACACAATGTTCAACACATGAGCGCCATCAAGCCCTTTATCAACAGGAATCTCCATTACCTCACCGGGAATATCCCACGAGGATTCCCACATGTGTCAGCATTCCCAGCTCGGCCCCAGAAGGGTGAGCAGCAGGGAAGAGGATGGGCCTTGGCTGCAGTGGGTCCGTGGTGCTGAGCAGGAGCGGAGGGCCCGAGCTGACAGGGCCAGGCCGGGCTCAAGCAGCAAAGCCTCGGGGCTGCAGCAGCTCCTGCAGCTGGTCCAGCACAGAATGGAGACCCTGGGGTGACACAACTCATGGCTGAAAGGCTCTGATCCCCTTGGGAGAGGGGAAGGTTTTTATCCAGTGGAGAAATTCACCCTGTGGTGAGCTGGGAACCCACAGAGCACAGACACAAACCCAGCACCCATGGAGATCTGGGAACTCGCAGAGCACAGACACAAACCCAGCACCCATGGAGATCTGGGAACCCGCAGAGCATAGACACAAACCCAGCACCCATGGAGATCCATCATCCCCAGGCCCCGTTCTCCCACAGAACATGTGGATTTCTCCCTTTTCACACAGCTCCCTTCACTTATCTCTGTCCTGGATAACAGCAGGTGTCCACTTTCCCTGTCTGGAAAGAAGAGTTGAACTGAAAGCGGAGTCTGCCTGCAGCCACAGGGACGGCTCCCTTTATCCTCCCCCATAAATAATAGAAGATTCATTCACAGACTTGTAATAGATTAAAAATAAATAAAAAAGAGCTCGATTTTGTTTTGCCAATCATGCACTTAATGTAATTTTCCCTTCTCATCCCCTTGTGCCGGTGCCTGTGGACTCACAAAGGTTTTAATAAGCTGGAAAGGTGCCAAACCATTTCTGTCTCATTAAAAAAATATCAGCACGGTGACAAAGGTAATTTTTTTCACATCAGTAGTCAAATCCACTTGCTGAATTAAAATCCAGCTGACAGGGAGACTATCAATTTTTAATGGGAGCTTCCTCCCTCCTGGAGAGGGGAAGCCTGGGGGGGTTATTCTTAAAAGGGATTCACATTTCTCACAACAGCTCCATCGGCTTTGGTTTCATCCAAAGCTCAAGTTTTAAAGCCTGAACGAGGAATTACAAAAAGCCCCCCCAGGTGAAAATCCTCCTGAGAGCTCCCCAGGCTGTGCCCCCACAGGCACTGCCTCCTCCCACTGCACGTGTGGGTCAGGGGCTGGAGCCCACGGAGGCAGCCCAGCTTTGTGCCACGGCTCAGGGATGGGGACAGGGCCCAGAGGCTGTCAGAGGAAGGTCTGGCTGAGCAGATAAGGACCACATGTGCCCCGAAGAGTCCGGCCCCTCACTCTGACCCTCCTCTCCAGGGGCCATTCCCCAGCAGAATTCCATTTCTTTCACAGCCACAACAATTTACACGAGCTGTAGGTCTGCCCCTGGCCCGAACACAAAGCCTCTGTGGGAGAAATGAACAATTCCTTACAATTCCCTTCCCCCAGCGCTGCTTTCCCAGGACAGCTGTTTTCCGTGTTTTCTTTTAAGTAAAAACAGAAGGATCCTGAACTTCCCAGGGATTCGGAGCATCGCTCCCCCCACGCCCGGATCAGCACAAGGACCAGCCCCACGCCAAAAGCAACCTTGGTTCTGCAGGATGTGCCAGACAAGGTCCTTCTCTGGGATTGAAGAGCTCCATGAGGAGCAGCCCTGGCTGCAGGGGGTCACTGAGGCAGCCGCAGCCCCGCTGCCCCCGGCCCTGCCCGAGGCCCAGCACACACAGCCCGCACTGACTCCAGGAGCTGCCCGGGGCGGCCGCATCCTGCCTTTGTGTGGGAGGAAGGACGCTCATCCCTCACCAAGGACCCCACATCCCTCCTGCGTTCAGCTCCTCGGCCTGGGGAAGCAGATGTGGGAGTTCAGAAGGATTTCTGACCCCATCCCGAGCTGGGCGGCCTCCCCTGAGCCTGGCCCGGAGGTCAAGTCCCACACCTGGCCCTGGGAGGTGCTCACCACACAATTCCCCGTTGATCCCGAATGAGAAAAAACCACGATTCCTACAGAATCTGCCACAACACGAACACTAAAGATAATTAATGACTTCGTGATTGAAACACCTTGCACTGGAGGCTCAGTGCTCTCCCCTGCAGCAAATCCCGAGCCGTGGGGAGTTGCACTCCTGGCACTGACCCCAGCCCTGCTCTGGGAGCCAGCACGTTCCCTCCTGCAGCGCTGACTTTTAGGATTACCCAAACCCCAAAACAGGCTGGGCACAACCCCAAAGCACAGCACAGCCGAGTGAGGGCGGCCCCGCGGCTGCGTCACCGTGAGTCAGCCCCGCTCCGGTGCCGGCTTCACCCAGACCTGACTCACCTGCCCCGGGAGCTGGCCGGTTCCCCTGACAAAATCCAACACTCCCAGCTAAGGAAGAATTTCACAGCGTTTTCTGTCCCTGGGAGATGGGCTGGAGCCACACAACTCCCGTTCACTGCTCGGGCACAGCCCCTACACAAGACACCCAAGCAAACCCCAGAGGAGGCACTTTGTGGCTCTTGATTTTAAATAAAAGGTATTGGGGAGAAAAGGGAAGAAAAACCCAAAGCCTCCTTTCTAGCTCCGTGACAAACTGTGATCCTCATCCCGTCAGGAACAGCTTCCAGTCCATCCCCAGCCTGAGACAGAGCCAAAACCACTTGGGGATGTTTAGGCACAAACCTGCAGTGAGAACTGGGGGCCCCTCTGAACATCATCTCCCTCTGTGTATTGGTTGTTCCCCTACTTTAACAGCAATTAAAAGCAACCCCACTTTTCCCAGCCCTCTTCCCAAGGCTTAATCTACACTCAGGATAGGACATATGAAAAATTCACCATGTATCTGCCTGGCTGCCTCCAGCCACCCAAGAAAGCAAACACAAACCATCACAAGTGGACCAGAAGATCTTTAACCATGTTGGATGTTCCCTGAGCTCCCCTCACAGCACAAGGAAATGCTCTGGCTCAAATCAGAACTAAACTGAACAACAAAGTCAAGCACTTCTTCCCCCCAGAACCTGTCTCAGAACAAACCCAGGGCTGCAGAACAGCTGGGCTGTGTCACCCCTCGAGTGCCACACAGCAGAAGGAGCTCCAGTTGCTATCTGACCCCTGAGCCAGAGAGAGCCCAGATAAGAGAGGCTGGTACAGGACATCCTCTGCCTCCAGCCAGCTGTTTCACACCCAGCTGAAGGGACTCCAGCAGCTCCAGCCTCGCTGCACTCATTCAGGATTGTTGCATCCAGTTCAAAAGTCAAGCTGCTGATTAGTCTGGGAATACACAACTCCCTATCCCATTGTGCTGAGATTCAATAATCTTTTTATTATCCTGGAAGAGATATAATTACTTCCAATAGTAATTTATTGGAATGAGTAAGACCTAATCTAAGAGAAACAAAATTCCATTGAATTTTGAGACATTGATGACATCCACAGTGGACTTCAAGCAGACAAACCAAGGGTTTATGAGATGATCCTGTACCAAATCATCAGTTATGACACACAACAGCTGGAATGGAACTCCACCAAAATACAGCTCTGTGCCCTGCTGAGCTGCTCCTCCCAGAGCTGCTTTTACACTAACACACAGAGATTTGGAGTTTGGTGCTGCAGGAATGAAGTCAGTGTGCAGAACTGCTCCTCCAAGCCCAGGTCCCTCCCTGCAGCCCTCACTGCTCAGGACATGGATTTGTGTCAGCTGAGGGAGGTTTTGGGATGGCTCCCAGCACAGAACTCTTCCCTGGTGCTGGGATGTATCCCTGGGCTCCCAGGGAGCAGCAGGCCCTGCCCAAGCAACAGCAGAACACTTCTGTGTCCCGGGGCAATTCAGGTAAATCCCTCAGCTCAGGACGCTCCACGCAGCACTCCCAGGCAAATTGCCAAAGTCACACAAGTGGAAAAATTTAACAATCCAGCCCTGAGTTTCTATAAACTTGGAACTGTTGCACACACACACCTGCCATTGTCCTCACCTGTTGACACAACAAACACATCTTTCTTCCAGAAGCAGCTACACAGACTGGCCCGTGACTCACCTCAGCCTCGCACTCACTCCTGAGGACTCAGTTCCATTTCAATTACACAGCCCAATTAAACTTCTCATGGAGTTGGATACAATTATTGCAGCAAGTCCCTTACCTATACCCTATGTCTGTCACTTCACCAGGGTGAAGAAGCCAAATTTCAGCATGAGCAGATCCAGGATAAAAAGAAGTGAGATCCAGGCAGCTCCTACAGGGTCATTTCTGAGCTACAAATACAAGGATTTAAAAACAGAGAGAAGATGTTAACCAAGAAGCTGGGATGGAGAAGGGATCAGACAAGTTTGGGTTTGGATGAGGGGAGCTCAATCAGAGGATCAGGAGTGAATTCAGTGGTGTCATGAACAGCAGAGACACAGATGGAACCCAGTCCAGCAGAGATTCTCTGCTAAAAAGGGTCTGGGCAACAGCAGGGACAGCTCAGGAGAAGAGGGAGCTCATTATCCCAATTGGTATTTAAATGAAATGTTAGTAACTTGAATGGATAAGTAGGAAGGAATTAAAACACTAAGCTAAACATAATTTAAAGGTTATATTATTTTTAAACACTGCATTTAATTGCTCTTCTTAAGCCTACACCATTCCTTATGGATAGAAGAAAAAAAGAGGCAGAGGGAGCACCAACAATAGAAACCCCAAGGGAGATGGAAAGGTGAAGGCCTGGCCCATCTAAACCCAGCAGAGGTCCTTTATCAGTCCTGGAGGCAGGAGATGGAAATAGGTGTGAGGGAAGATAAGCAGTGACTCAGGTCCTGAATGTAAAGAACTCCTATTAGTGCTAAGATTAAAAGGCACTCAGAGGTCACCAAACCCAGGTGGAAGCAAGACTGGGATGATAAAGGAGGAGGCATTAAACCCTGGGGAGCTGCACCCCTGCGGGCTCTGCCCAGGACATCCAGGGAAAACCCAGGTGAATGAGGATCAGCACGTCCCAGGTTCGGGTTTGTGGCTCCACCAGATTCACCCAGATGGCTTTTGAAAAATGCCTGTGTCCAGAAGCTTCTTGGAAATTATCACACACGTTTTAATAACAGGTGATCCTCAGCATTGCAGTTGCTGGAGGAGGTTTGCAATGATGTTCATGTGAAGAAACAAAAGGTTCAGCACGGAGGGAAGTGCAGGAGCTGCTCTGAAACCTCCCCTCCCAGCCTTGGAGCAGCCCTGCCTCTGGTTAAACCTGCACAAGGGCAAGGGAAGCCTCATCAATGCCCACACTTCACTGTGCACATCACAGCTACTGCAGCTACAGCACAAGCAGAATTCAAAAGCACCTTCCAGAGGAACCTCAGGCTTCAGAATTATTTCAGAAACACAGCTGGAGTTTGTACAAGGACTCCACAGCAGCAACCCAGCAAGCTTCCTGTGTGATTAAAAGGGGGTTGGAACTGATGGTTTGTAAGGTCCCCTCCAAGCACAACCCACTCTGTGATTCCATGATTATGGAAAGGCAGGGAGCCCCCCAGGATTCCTCAGATGAGCTCTCACACCACTACAGCTCCTTCTCCAAGTTAATCAAACCTGCTGTTCGTTTCTTGCAGGACCTTCAAACACTTGCTCTGACCAGCAATTCTCCCAGCAAATACTGAGTCTGAGCTTCTCCATCCTCTCAGAACACTGCCCAGGTGAGGCTGTTTGACTCCTGCTTGGCAAGAACTCCACAGGAGCATCACTAATTAAAGGGCTTATC